CGACAATGTAGTGCCAAGTTTGCCCGATTGAACACCAAATGAAGACCGGTGGACTGCGACACCATGATTACCAAGCTAAGCACCAAATGAAGGTAGCAAACCACATCGATAAGATCTTCCAATCTAGCCCAAGATGTGATGATAGCTATCTGTGACACAAATATCAATCAGTTGAGCACTAAATGAGGAATGATGGACCACAACACCAAGATCGCCCTACCCAATCTGAGACATGAAGACAACTAATTGTGACCCCAAGATCGCTAGGTTAAGCACCAAATGAAGACCGACAGACTATGGTGAAAGATTGCACCATCCAACGTAGGACATGAAGACAGCCAGCTGTGGCACCAAGATCTCCCGGTTGAGAGCCAAGTGAAGGCTGACGGACCGCGGTGCCAAGATTGCCCTGTCTAGCCCAAGACATGAAGATAGTAAGTAGTGGCAACAAGGCTGTTCGATTGAGCACCAAATGAATATCAGTGGACTCTAGTGCCAAGATCGTCTGATCCAGCCCGAGACATGAAGACAATCAGGCGTGATGCCAAGATCGCCTGTTTGAGCGCCAAATGAAGAGCGGCAGACCGCAGAGAAAAGATTGCTCGGTCTAGCACGAGACATGAAGACAACCAACAGAGGAACCAAGATCACCCAATAGAGCACCAAGTAAATACTGGCTGATTGCGGTGCCAAGATTGCCCGGTCCAGCCCAAGACATGAAGACAACCAGTCGTAACACCAAGGTTGACCGACTAAACACCAAATAAACACTGATGGGTTGCAACATTAGAATCACTCGGTCTAGCCCAATAAATGAAGATAACAAGTCGTGGTGTCAAGATAGCCCAACTGAGCACCAAACGAATGTCAGCGGGCCGCAGTTTCAAGATCATCCTATCCTTCCAGAGACATGAAGACAAATAATCATGGTGCTAAGATCAACTGACTAAGCATCAAAAGAAGATTGACGAACCATGGCCCCAAGATCGCTCGACACAACCCAAGAAATTATGATAGTTAGTTGTGACCCTTAAATTGTCCGATGAAGCATAAACCAAAATATGGAGGACCGTGGCTCAATATCACCTAGGGCTATCGGGCTAAGAGTGAAATCAAAAGTAACCGACTATGGTTTTAAAGTTGTAGCCCACTCGAGTCATTTACTCACGCATTTAAGGCCATCAACCAATGATGGAAGACTGCAGAAAAGAAACAAGAAAAGTTTTTATTCATTTCTTTGAAATATATATACACGCCATTTTTTGCATACATAATTGCCCGCAGGCCCAGCACCACTAGACGATGACTATATTTCTCAAAATAGCAAAATAAAAAGAACAAACATATACAAAAATCTATAAAGCTGTAGATCCGCGTCCACTATTGTTTTTATCTCCTTCAGGCTTATTTGCCTCATCGTCATCATAATCGATGAAGAGGAAAGCAAAGTTGTCCATGTCGCCCCACTTCAGATCCATCAGGACGACCTTTACGAAGCACTCAGCAGTGATGGAAAGACCGATCTGGATCTATTCTGAGAGCACCTCTAAGTGATCATCTTTTGGAATCATCTCCAACATCTTGACTTTAAACTCTTTATTCTTGATAATCAGAGAGACAATGGTTTATTCATATTCTTTGACCCTAGCCTCCCACACCTGGATCGAATTTCTTAACTTATTATATAGATTTAGAAGCTTTGGATCCGCCCGCCTCTTACCCTCATGGTCACCATCTAATTGGCAGCCTTCGTATTCTTCTCCTGAAGAACCAAGACATTCACATAATAGTGAGAGATCGAGAGAGCCAAAAAATAGGAGATGAAGAAGAGAAGAGTGAAGGGGAATAAGAACTATTTTTTGAAAAATTCATAGTGGTAAAGTGGTATTTTAACATCTTAGCAGTACACAAAGATCCAACACACACATAAATAATGAAAAATAGTAATGAGACAAAAATTTTTACATAGAAAAATCCTGTAAAGAGAAAAAACATAAGGCTTATCCCAGTCAAAGTAATCTACTATGCAATTATAAGTATAAAGGTTCACTCTTCTTCTGAACTAGAAAAAATTAAGTTACAAAACTAATAATGTCGTATGCACAACAATAACTTAGTTATAGTAGTCATAATTAAACTACAACAAATATGGTTCTTGGTTGTAATAGTAACATTTAGCTAAAGATATAATAGTTGGTCACTACAATGATAGTAGTTCGCCATAAAAGCTGTAGTTGGTGGCTGCAATGAAGATAATTGGCCACAGATGTTGTGATTGACAACTGTAACGATAATTGTTTGTCATAATACCTTATTTGGCAGTTGCACAAATAGTAGTTGTATACAAAGGCCATGATTAGAAGCTATAATAACATTAGTTGGCCACATAGTAAGTAGTTAGTGACTACAATAATATCGACTGGCACTTATACCGTAGTTAAAAGCTATAAAAGTAGTAGTTGGCCACATATGTTATAGTTAGTGACTAAAATAATATAAGTTGGTCATGAAAACCGTAGTTAGTTGCTACAAAAACAATAGTTGGCTTTAAAATAAGTAGTTGGTAGATGCAACCACGTTAGTAGTCCACAAATGTTGCAATTGGAAGCTGTAACAGTAGTAGTTAGTCACATTGGCCGTAGTCAGTAACTAAAATATCATCAGTTAGCCATGTAGACCATAGTTGGAAGCTCTAACAACGTCGGTTAGCCATAATCTATAGTTGGTGACTATAATAGTGTTAGTTGTCCATAGAGGACGTAATCGGTGACTAGACGACCCCTTCTCTAAGGGAGAATAAACTTACAATTTTACACCACACACTTCTCTTATATTTATACAATGTAAATAAAAATACATGTGTTAAAAATAACCCTTGTATTTTTGCTACGATGGTCATAAGCAGTGGTCTCCCACAGTCGGCATTGACAACAATAGGTGGTGGCCGACGGTGGCTGACGATTGTGGTTGATAATGATCAACAACTATAAATGTAAAAATTTATCGTTGGGTATTCAATACAAGCATTACACATCACAACCATATTTGGAATATGACATTTACAAATAAGGATTGCTAATGACAGGAGGTGGGGACGATAGCAGTGGCATATGACAATGGCAGACAGACGGTGGTCGACAATGACAAACAGCTAGTGGTCGATAGTGGTCGGCTGATACGGAGGTCGGGAGTTTTCGATGAGTTTCCAGTCTAGAATGAGTCATGAAATTTGACCTTTTATCCTTTCGAATCTCCCCATCAAGGGAACATAACAGGTCTATTTATAGCTTATAGGGGGGGGGGGGGGGGGTTTGCGGGGGGGGGGGGGAGTTTTGTCTTATAGCGAATAATTTTCCCAACCATATGATCGAACGGTCCATATTGACCCCCTTGATCATAAATGTATTTTTGATGATTTAAATGCCTTAATGACATTAGAATTTAACAATTATGACCATGATTGTTAGATTCCTCTCGTCGAGAAACTCAAATTGACTATAAATATGTCAAATTCGAAGTTTATTTAACCATTCAATTGTCAATCCAAAACCTCCAACTATGCTATAGTGGCTTGATCTGGGCTTAATTGGATCTATAATGATCTAATTTTAGTATCATTGGGTTCGTCTTGTCGAGACGATCAATTTAATTATATACTTATTGAAATTGGAGCTCAGATGATCTTGAATTTGAATTTTGAATATCCCCCGTAAAAGGTGCATCGAGATTCATGCTCGATAAAAAAAAATGTTGATGACGCATCAAGTACTTTGATCATATGAAACTAATGTAGAGAAATTTACTTAAGTAGGATGCAATTCTTATGTACTTCCATATCTTACACCTAAATTTTTATATTTACATGCATATCACTTCGGTTTTTAAACCTATGCATAAAATGAGGTATTCCACTTTTAAAAGGTGGTAATAGCACTATTTTTAATGTGATATTAAAAAATTGCGTGTTGCATAAATGTGAAAGCTTAGTTACAAAACATGTAATGACGTAAGAATTATGTGTTATTTATATAAATGTCCCAAAAATGTAATGGCATGGTGTTTGGAACAAAATAAAAAAATGATACAATCCTCTCATTTTATACTTAATAGTTTTATCTACCTCGACTTAATATGATAAAAGAAAGAAGTTTGAATTTAATTTGAATTTACTTAATTGTCCCAACATGGATATGAGATATTACTAGGGATGATGAACATGTATACGAATGACCAATCACATATAAGAATAGTCATTTATTTGCTATTAACACTCATTTTTATAAGAAAAGTAAAATGTCAAAATATTTCTTAATTATTTACCTCATCATTTTAGTAACATAGCCCATAAAAATGGCAAATTGGATGTTAGATATTTTTAATAAGGTTTGAAATAGTCATTTCTTTGGGATTGTTTGTGATCAATTTTATTTTTTATTTTTTGTTTTTCCTTTATTTTTAAAAATAAGTTTATTTAGTATATTTTTAACATTTTTATTTTTTTTAAAATAAATAAATATGTTTTTAAAAACACTTAAAAATAACTTTTGAGCATTTAAAAATCAACCATATCTTAATCAAGCATGCAAAGTATATTTTGTTTCAAATCAAAATATAAACAAAAAAAAGAAAATAAAAAACAAAAGTAATTCCAAATGACCCCTTCAGGACAATTCACTCTAGATTAAAAAAAATAGGTAGATCAAATTGACATTTTTATAGACTATAAGACGTCATTTGGTTTCAAGTAGAATTTAATTTAAATAGGATTTAATAAATACTTTAAATCCAAATTTATCAAATGTTGAGGTGGTTAAATCTTGTTGTTATGCTAGTAATTAAATTCTCATAAATCTTGAAAAATTATTTGACGTTTGACAGTTTTAGAAGGATTTAATATGATTTATCAAAGGAAACATCCTAAAATAAATATTAAATTAAAAACTATAAATGAGTATATAAAATCTTAAAATACATAAAATAAGGCATTTACATTAATTAATAATTAATAATTTTTATATAACTAATTAATTATTAATTAATAATTAATATTAATCAAATATTTATTAATAAATTATTGATTATATAAATTAAGAATTACATAAAATTTTATTAAATAATTTAAAATTTTAATATATTTTTATTCATTAATTAACTATTAAGTAATCACATATAAATTTATCTAATTATAATTAATCGGATAATATATAAATTAACTATTAATCAATTAAAAAAATTAAATTAATTTAACAAAAATGCATTAAAACGACAAACCTATCTCCCTTTCTCCCACTCCCCAAACCCTCGCCGACATTCTCCCCCTCCCGCTTTCTGCACAAAACCCTAGCTTATACTCCTCCCCATTCCAGTTTCGCCCAAAACCATCGACTTCTTGTACGAACCTTCGCGATACGATCGCCGTCATAGCTAGCTGGGAAGCCAACGACGGGATCGCGGCTTCTAGAGACTACCGAAACTCCAATCTTTCTCATCCTTCCGGTCCGCTCCTAGCAGAGACCGTTGAGGAAGGTAATCCTGTTCGGTCCATTCTTTCTCGTCGTTAGTCCGGGATTCACTAAATCCGCCGATTCACACGAGTTGGTGAATCCACGATTTATCGCGAATCGGAGCCATGTTGGGATTTACGGGAGCTCAGGATTTACAGTGGCGTTTTTGCCGTTTGGCAGGATTTAGCTTAAATCCTGCCAAAACTGGCTTCAAATTGGACCCTAAGATTAAATGATCTATTATAAAAAGTCAAGGAGACATGTCGACCCTTTCTCTTTGTACAATGATATAAGCAACCCATGATTTGTTCACATTTAGATATATTTATTTGCTTTTTAATTTTTGTTTAGAAATCATTATTTGTTTCTCTTTTATTCGTTGTTTTTTATTATCAACTTGTTTTGTTATTTTGAACTCTAAATTATATTTGTTAAAAACACGGATTCTGAGTTTGAGCTGGTTCAGGAGTTTGGTGCGGCCTTTTTGGTGCAGCCCTAGCTCAAATCTCTGCTTTCAGAAATTTACGGAATAGTAGGGGCAGCAAGCTACCCCGTTGTGATCTTCTTCTCCGTTGGCCAGTGGATCCCTAGATTTTCAGGCATCTTCTTCCAACTATTCTATGGAATTGCCTAATCCACTTGCTCCGTCGGCAGCCATGGAGGTGGAGGGCAGCGGCCTTGCTTCGGAGACGGCTGCACCGTCGCGGCCTCGATTCGAGGCTATGAAGCCGCATGAATTGATGGAGGGAAAGATTCAGTTTCGGAAAGTTCCAGTGCCTTCCCATCGCTTCTCGCCCTTGAAGAAATACTGGATGGATATCTACACACCTGTCTATGAGCAGATGAAGGTTGACATACGCATGAATCTTAAGGTGCGTTACTGCTCCATTAAATTTTTTATGTTGATATAAGTATGAGTTGGAGGTTATGCTTTAAAATAGGTTCTTATTGTTAGCTCTCACTGTGTATGGCCGCTGCAATTCATTCTCTTACGGTCACTACAATTACTATTCTATGACCTATTTTTTTTTTAGGAAGCTTGAACGAGATTAGAAAATAAGTGAATGTTCTTGAACATTAATTTCTAACTTCCCGACGTATGAAACTCCGATTGCCTTTTAATGGTTTTTTGCTAACATTTAAATGTACGTGCTGTTGAAATATCATAATTAATTGTTTAATTTTTTTTTTAATTTTAAAAGACATGTTTAAATTACTGTTGTTTGGTTCAGTTGAAGCAGTTCCAGTTTAATTTGTTCTTATGAGGTAATTGCAGTCTTCTATTTCATTAACGTATGCAATGATTTTTTGTGTACTATAGGTCGTACTTGTAAATATATATTCGGGAATAGCTTGGAATCTTGCAACATATTTGAGGTGTTCTTTAAGTGGTGGAGATAGGCGAATAATGATTTTTATGTGTTTCCTAGAGGAACCCATAATTTTCCTAATTGCTAATGGAAATTGGAAATATCCACTTGATTAAAAGAAATATCTAAAATTTACTGAAATCTTTTCCATAATTTTGCTAGGTAGAGTCTAGCATCAGCATGACCTCTGATGAATATGTTGATGCTAAAAATGCTTTCTTTAATGATATGAGAAATTCTTATTGTTTTGTTTAATGCGTTCCTGTAATATTCTTAAGGGAGGGTTTCATGTACTCTCAAAATTTTGGTTCAAACTAATATTGGCCAATTTATAGATTAGAATGAACTCGCCAGGTCAAAGATGAACTCATTAAACTTATGAGAAAACTGTCAGAATCATAGTTAGGGTCTGTTTGGAGCACCTGCAGCTTCTTAGCTGCAGCTTAGCTGCCCCAGGAAGCTGCTGCGGGGAAGTTGACTGATTGTTTGTTGCAGCTGTTTTAAAACAACTGTGTTGAAGCTGTTTTTGGACAAATGACTATTCTGCCCTGCTTAGTAATACTGTTTGTAGCACAATTATGACAGTCATATATTTGATACTTCAAAAGAAGGAATTCACTTCAGAACTGTACAAAAATTCAGTTTCACGTCTTACTTAATAGCGAGTACCAAAAGTGCTATAAAAAAAGAAAAAAACTTTTAAAATTATAATTAATAAACAACTTTTATTGATTAATCATCAAACTTTATTTTGTGCTCAATTTTAGAAAATAATGACATAATATGATGCTTATATATGTTGATGAAATTTAGAAAATAATGACATAATATGATGCTCAAATATACGGTATTTTTTGAATGACAATATTGTCATTTATCTATTATTTAACTGAACAACTCCTAACCTTTAAAATCTGAATCAAACAAGCATGTTATTCTTTAAGAAACAAAATTTTACATCGTTCTTCCTGTTCCTACTAACTGCATTATACAACAAGAAGAATTCATCCTTTATCTCCAAGCAAACTCTTCTGATCAAAATCCCCACAACAAAAGCAAGCTATCAGAACTGCTATCTGGCTCAAAATACGAACAAAGAGTCCAACAGTACGAGCATAATGCCAGAAATAATTAAATAAAGAAATCAACTTTAAATTAAAACGAGAAGAAAAAAAAGAAAAAAAATGTTACACTTAAGATGCACCGTCATTCTCATTCAATAACGACAACAATAGTCTTAATCCCACTACGTGGGGTCGGTTATATGAATCCTTTTTCTCCATTGCATAATGTCATATTTTCATTTAGTTCTTATAAATTAAGATCATTTTTTATACAATAAACCCAAGTCTTACTAGGTCTATCTCTGCCTTTCTTAAAATAATTCGAATCTAAAACATCTACTCTCCTAATTGGATCATCAGATGGTCGACGCTTAATGTGATCAAACCATCTAAGATGACTTTCTCTAATTTTGTCCGTCACAGATGCTACACCAACCCTATCACAGATGTATTCATTTCGCATTTGTCTCTAAGTGTAAAGCCACTCATCCACCTAATCATTCTCATCATGACAACATTTAATTTAGTATTATGCTTCTCTTTTAAAAGCTAACATTTAGTGCCATAGAGCATTGCAGGTTTCACCACCATCTTATAAAATTTTTCTTTTCAGTCTAAGTGGTTCTTTTCTGTCACACAAAAGCATCCTCATTCGCATTCTTAGATGGTTTCAACATCCTTATCTTCGTCGTTAGAGAAGCTCTGTTTCTCAAATCGCTCGAGCCTCGACCGCTGCGCCACCTTGGAATTAGGGCAGGGAGGGAAGAGCGCGTGAGATGGTGGAGTGACCGGGAGGGAGGAGCGGGAGGGATTCTGTGTCAAACAGGAGCGACGAAGGGTAAGCCGCTTAATATTCCATCGCCAAAACGACGTCCCTCAATGCTCGGGACACCGAACCAAACGACCGCACCACGTGTAAATTGCGGTCCCAAACGGGGCCTTAATTTGCCTCGTGATTCATTGCAGGATACTAACTCAAAGCTACTATATGCCAACATGACCTAGCAAGTTGTCAACCATATTAAGTTCATGACTTCATTCGATTGCGCAAGCATCTGTAGTCAATAATTCACTAAACTCAACTATTAAAGGCTCTAGTTTAATTGCAAATTAATATATTATGGATATCTGCATCATTTATTTTATGGCATTGAGAACTGTTAAAGGCTCTAGTTTATTTAAAAATTTATATAATATGACTATGCCTCATTTATTTTATGACATTGAGAAACCAGTAGGTATTATTGTTCATATTTTTCTGTTGATGTCGTTTTTTCCATAGCGCTTAAACTTCGATCCAAACCTATAAATAATTTGCAAAATTTATTCTATCAAATTTATTCTAATGAAATTCTAGTGGTTCTCAATCTAAATTCTCACCATCTCTCTCTCTCTCTCACACACACACACACACCCCCTCTCTCTCCATGGGCTTACTGGTAAGATTTTGGTATTATCTATGACAATTTTAAATTCAGCATCATCAAAGATATGAAGAGCATAGATATGTTCCAAAATCTAGAAGATAGGTACATGAGAAGTAAGAGAACAAAATAGAGGAATTCATTAAATATGAAGAACTAGGATTTTGTCACTAGCCAACAACTATCAGAGATGCTTAAGAGGATCGATAAAACCATTTGAGGAATCTTAAAGAAAAATGTAATGCTACTCTTAGAGTGGGAATGCCAAAATGATCTTCAGAATTTGTAATCTGCAAGATAAGTACATGAACATTACTTTTACCTCAGCAAATAATGAGACTTATTATCCTGGCAAAGCCAAAGTTCAACTCTCGCCTTGCATAATAGATTCAAGTTAAGAAGAGGAAGCTATAGCTAACTAATATGTTTTCAAGATAAATTTCATAGTTTGGTTTTATAAAATTATAGATTTGTCTTCTTCACTCATACATGGAAAAAGTAGACTTGGCCGTTCGTATAACTTCGAATCAATTATTTCTTTACTTGATATTAACGATGTTTTAAATTTCTTGTTCTTTCTTTCTATTTTTAAGGAGTCCCCTCTTAGGCGGTTCTCTTCTCTATCGTACAGGGTATTTACTTCATCTGAAGGGTTTGAAAGTAGGTTTACAACCACATTTGCCAGTGCTCATAGAATATTGAAGAATTTTTAGGCTTTAGTATGAATGATTCAAAAATCTAGTAAGTCACTGAAGAATTTTATTTCAAGCTTTCAGTAGAAATGTTGGATGTAAATAGTTTAGAGCTATTTGTAGCTCAAGCTGCATTTACTCAAGGTTTGAAGGAGGGATCTTTCGCTATATTCTCTAGATATGAAAACTAAAGACTTTGTGGATTTGATAGAACATGCAAACATTTATCTAAATGCGATAGGGTAAAACTAAGTAATTTTCTTTGAATTCAAGTTGGTAAGGGAATTCCATTATAGTAGGGAAATTCCAATGATTTCTCAATGATCAATGAAGTTTCTTCTGGAATCAAGGGTAGATAAGGATCCACTTTTTTTCCTTGAGGCAACACTAAGGCATCAATAACCACAATAATATTAAGGGTGAATGAGAAACAAAAATCACGATGATGGTAGGAGGGAAAGGTTGTTATTGTTAGCAGTGAATTTTATATTGTTGATGCTCTAATGATTGAATCAGTGGAATTCTTTTGGAGCAAAAGCTTCAGCGACCAACTCCTATTACTGTTAGTCTCGTGCAAGAGATCCCTCAAAGTTTTGCTCCTTTCAGAAAGCTCACAGACATTATATGGGTAATTGACAACATCTCTGAAAAAGGTAAAAGAGTTGATTAAAGTTGAAAAACTTAAATTAATTTTCCTGTAGATCGAAGAAAAAGATTGGGGAAGACACCTGTGGTAGTAGCCACCATTCTTTATGGGTTAGGAGAAGACTTTTTTGGTTAATTAGCTTCAAATGCCTTTTGTTAGGAGTGATGAACTTGATTTTTTTTTATAAGAGATTTCATTGCAGAAGCGATACCTATTACATTTGTTGAGGTGAATATGACAATGAATGAAAATACTAGCATTATCAAAGCTTAAAGCACACTACGATGCACAAAATTTAATCTTTGACTCATGCACAAAACAAAACAACGTTTTTAATAACCAAGGCACTAATATGTTATTGAAAACTATTAATGTATAAATGTATTCATGAACAACTATAAAACTTTAAAATAACTTAAAAAGTTTATATGAAATAGAAAAAATATGATACAATTTCTAACTTGAAGACTAGCACATATTTATTTCATTTTAATATTACATCAAAAATATCATCATTTAAACTTTTACATATGAATTGAGTTATATGTATCAAAATCCCTCTCCTCCCCAACACACACAGAACACACAACAACAATAATAACAACAACAAAACCTTTATACCAGTAAGTGGGGTCGACTACATGAATGCTTTTTTTCCATTGCGTCCTATTTAGTG